AAAGACATGCGGTACAGGTGAATTGGATAGGCTAAATTGTCCGGAGTGTATGAATGTGTGTGTGAATGAGTGTGTGTGTGGATGTTTCCCAGAGATGGGTTGCGGCTGGAAGGGCATCTGCCGCTGCATAAAAACTTGCTGTATAAGTTGGCGGTTCATTCCTCTGTGGCGACCCCAGATAAATAAAGGAACTAAACCAACAAGAAAATGAATGAATGAATGAATTGTATATATACGTTTTGTTTTTCTAACTCACGAAAAGCTTGTTAAACAAGTCAATCGCACAAAACGCTCAACTCACGCATCCTAGTCGCGCGTATTGCAACGTAGTATATGCAGTCTCTGTCGCCATCTTGTTCGTGGACAATGTCAACCGTCTCTGCTCTGCTCAATGACAAGTTGATAGATGTTGACAGACTGCATCTCTGAATTTGGAAATATTTAAAATAGGCACTATCCTTAAGAACAACTGCATAGTTACAATCTAAACAACTATATTCTCGACTAAAAAAGCCTCACAAGTACATGATGTTGTCCAACAGCTGCATTATTTGTCACTGTAGTGAGTTTATTGATCTGCTCTCATTCTATGTGGGCGGAGTAATGCAGAAGGGTGAGGAGGCTGTACGTGTTCTGATATTAATATTGCATAGCTATCAGCCAATCAGATTCGAGAACCACACAGTTCACTTTTTTTTTTTTTGGATGTGATTAATCGCAATTAATCGTTTGACAACACAATTTAGTTTTTTAACAGAAAAAGAAGTGTTTACTTTTTATTTGTGATCTATCCATGTGCAGTGAGTGAAGGCTCACAGTCATGCGACGATATTAATGAAGCTTCAGCAGGGCTCTCCTTCCTCCTGGGCTTTGTAACAAAGTTTAATGACCAAAACAAAAGTGGAACCACTGTTCTCAAAAGCTCAAACGCAATCAACCCAATGTTTAAACGGCATCAATGAATGAACCGTGAGTGGTCTGCGGGCATGATGCAGCATGTAGTTTTCACAAAACGACAGATCGTGGGAGATTCCATGAAGGTAATGGCTTTGAAATTTACAGGGGTTATTTTTCACTAGGCAGAAAAATGCTAGAGTATTTCATGCTCCAGGAAAATCTTGAATAAAAAAAAGAACGCTATCTCATTTCAGTCCTAGCAGGCTTCGGCGGTGTTGTGAATAAGAGTTAAACAGCTGGATCTCTTTCACTTGATTTGGCACACTGTGAGCGCAACTAACCAGGTGAGAAGGCCTGTACTTCACTCACAGCCTCTCCTCTGAAACCCACTGCTTTCTTCAGCCCGATAACGCAGCTTCTTAACTCCAATCAATCCTCATAAGTGACCCATTTGAAATGCCGTATACTGTGCAGCAACTTCAGAAACTCAAATAAATATGGAATTTAAACATTTCATTGGAACATACTGCTAACAATCCCCTACTCTAATACTACTCTTCTGAAATAAAGCATTGTTTTTCTTATTTAAGATAGATTTGGTCAGACTGTGATTCATTCATTCATTTTCCTTCGGCTTAGTCTCTTATTTATCAGGGGTCACCACAGCGGAATGAACCACTAACTATTCTGGCACATGTTTCACGCAGCAGATGCCCTTCCATCCACATTACTGGGAAAAAAAAACCATGCACACCCACACACACACACACACACCCACACACACACGCTCACATTCTCCTATAAGGCATGTCTTTGGACTGTGGGGGAAACCCGAGCACCCAGAGGAAACCCACACCAAGACAGGGAGAACATGCAAACTCCACACAGAAATGCCAACTGGCCCAGCCCAGACTCGAACCAGCAACCTTCTTGCTGTGAGAGAACAGTGCAAGCCACTGTGCCACAATGCCGCATTGGTCAGACTTTAAGGTTTAATTCTGTTATAAACAAATCATGACTTTTGCCTTAGTAAACAGTTCTTAAGGTAATAGTTGGGTTTGGTATTGGATAGGATTAGGGATGTAGAATAAGATCTTGCAGAATTTGTACTTTTTAAGGGCTAGTAAGCAGCATAATATCTTAATAGCAGGCAAGTAATGCTTTTATAGTTAGAACTTGCACTTAATATTTTGCGCCCTATCATACACCTGGCGCAATCCGCCACAAGACGCGACGCAACTGTTGTTTGCTAGTTACAGCTTGGCGCAAGAGACGTTTTGCAGCACGCTGTTTAAATAGCAAATGCATTTCTGCTCATATGTGCAGCCATAGGCGTTCTGGTCTAAAAAAAGGAGGCGCGTTGAGGCGCCTTGCTATTTTGAGGAACTATAATAGACTGTTCAATAGACCAGCAGAGAGGAGGTCTAACGCCCCATTCACACGGAACGCTTCCCATTCACTTTGAATTGTTCGTTGCCGAACTGCATTGTGGATCCGTCGGCACCCCCTCTGAGGCGTTGCTCGCTGTAGAAGTTGGGACTAGCTCAACTTTTCAAGCGCCGACGGAAGCGTCAGCCAATCAGATCGCTGTATGCAAACACACCAGCTCAGACAGTGGCCTATTGCTAACTGAATTTCATTGGCTGACGCTTCTATGACGATCGCTTCAGCCCCAACTTCAGACACGCCTTCAGTCAAGCGTTGACGCTGAAGCCCCAGGCGTAAAGTCCAGGGCGTAAGGACCCACACAGACCACAGGTTAAGCGCCCCCTGTAGGCCTCACTAACACTACTTCCGGCAGCAACCTAGCTTTCCCATGTGGTCTCCCATCTAGATACTGACCAGGCGCAGCCCTGCTTAGCTTCAGTGGGCGACCATGTGAGAGTTGCAGAGAGCTAGCTGCTGGCATTACAGTAAATCTGCAAAGATAAGCGGGCCAAACTTTTCCATAGGGCTTCAACAGACTTCAAAAAGTGCTTGCTATTAAGTTTAGGGGGCAAACACTTTTCCACACAGTGCTATGTAGTTTGGCACTTTGTTTTCCTTTAATTATACAACCTTCAATTCAAAGCTGCATTTACTTGTGTTATCTCTGACTAAGATTTAAATTAACAAAGTGGCAAAAAAGAAAATAAGACACCAAACACTTTTTCACACCACTGTCAATACACTGCAATAACATTCCGTGCAATGTGTCCAACACTCACTTGTCTTTTTGGCAGGCTGCTGATTGTTGGGCGGCTGCTGCTTTGGTTCCTCCAGGCCATCGGAGGGCAGAACCACTCCACCTCACTCAGGTACACCAGGAAAGAGCAGTCGGAGCCGTCCACTCCATAAAAGGCATAGCAAGGGTCTGATGTCCACCTGGCTCTCATCCACTTGAACATAAAGATAAGAGAAACATTTAAAAAGTAATATGACATGCCAGGTTAACATCCGCAGTGAAGTTTCAGCTCTAAACACCTCAAAGATCATTTATCATACCGCACTTTAAAAGTATTTTTTTTGGGATTAAAACTAAACCAAAATTTGTATGTGTCTCTTTAAATGCAAATGAGCTGCGAATAGCTCGAGTTGTAAAATTCACGCCGCGTTAACCAATCAGGAGATTGGTCTTGTGATTATGAGGTAGCCAGTGGCGTCGTCGCATCCCCCCCCCCCCCCCCCCCCCCACCACCATCCCATCAAACCCTCAACCGGCATATATAAAACACATAAAGACAGCTATTTTCTCAAAGAAAATTCCATGTTAGCCATTTAGCAACGAAGCTACAGTCACCGGGGAGACAGAAGCCCTGCCCGTGTGCCCATGACGCGAATCCGCGCCTGTTCTGAAGTGAATTTGGCGCGCGAATGAAACGGATTTTGACGCTTGAATGAAGCAGGTAAACTCAAATGTTCACGCGTCTATTTACGTGCGAATTTCGCGATTTATCCGCGCGCATTTCCAATAAGCCTGAGCTGACATTTCCTTTTACTTTAATTTTTTATTTACTTATTTACTTTTAACTGTGCACAATAAAACGCAGATAACAGCATATTCGGCATATTATATATTTAAAATAGCGTCTCTTGGACATAATATTATACTACACAACTAAACCACGCTAAACAATACTTAGAATACTTAGGACTTCAACTGTAAATGTGATTAATACATAAACATGGCTTACAGGCCCTTTATGGCCCTTTAATGGGGTATATGCTGAAGCATGCTAATAGGACTTTTAATTTGCCAGTAACCTGGGTTAAGCGCTTCCGGCGAATTGAATGCCAATGCAAAATCCGGTGCGTTTAAGGTCTGTTTTCTTTAAAAATCAGCGATCTCCACTAGCTGAGTGATATCCGATTTAAAGTGGGTCTCAGATTGTACAAGAAGCACTGCATTAAATTATATTTCCCCCACCATATCTTTATAATATGAGCATTTATTTTACCCCAGTATATTCAATGGAGCTTATGCGTTAGCCTGCCGATTCTGACGGGGGCGTGCGAGTAAACAGCTTTTTGTCTCGTTTTACGCTTGAGCAACTAAATAAATACTACAATTTATTAAACTGAATGTATTTTAATGTTATTACAACATCAATGCTGTATAAGAAACCGTATAAAATGGAAAAAAGTTCACAATAACAGGTCACCGGAAGTGTATCAGCATGGGAACAGCACTAGCTCGGCATATACCCTATTATCACAAGCTTCACAATAATCAATACAGATTTTATTTCTTGCATTATAAAAGTCACAGGTGAGTTTCTAGCAACTAAAGCTTGACTTACTGTGGTAACATTTACACTGTTGTTTAAGCTTTAAAAACAAAACTCAATGTGACGTACGGTTTACTGCAGAGGTCTCTGGATCTGTGATGTGCAAATAGTGTGAGCCCAGATTTTGTGGGTGTGTTTACTCTGTTGTCTGATCTGCATAATTAATTTAGTGAATCAGGCGCAGACAGCAGATGCTAATAAACCACTTTCTAAGGGAGTAATTCATTCTTCCTAAACTCCCTCCTGTGTGCATTTCCTGCAGCACAAGCCATTCATTCATCATAGTTATTTCAAACGCTGTGACAGGTGTGGTGAAATAATGTTTGTTTGTGGAGAATAGAAACAATATATACAGTTGAAGTCAGAATCATTAGTCCTCCAGAATTATTAGACCACCAGTATATTTTTCCCCCCAATTTCTGCTTAAGGGAGGGAAGATTTCTTCAACACATTTCTAAACATAAAAGTTTTAATAACTAGTTTAACTGATTTATTTTATATTTGCCATGATGACAGTATTGCTTTTATTCCAGCTGAAATAAAATAAAAAAGACTTTCTCCTGACGGAAAAAAAATATATAGGAAATATTGTGAAAATTCCTTGCTCTGTTAAACATCAATGAAAAAAAAAATCACAGGAGGGCTAATAATTTTGACTTTAACTGTATGTATTTATGGTAATACACTCACATGCAGGACAAATTTGTAAATCGTAACTGTATGATTAATATAAGCATAATTTATTAGTGGTTACACGTAATGTCACAAATGTATAAGTCCACAATGCTATTGGCTTCATTGTTGATTTCAGTGGATTATTGCCACCAAATGCTTAGATGGGATGTTCAGTAAAAATAATATAACTCTTAAAGTTATTTTCTTTTCTTTTCTTTTTTTTCAGTTTCACATCAATGGTTAGCGGTTACAGTATTTATATATAACAATTATGTTGCTTTATTTGCATTTTAAACTAAGTTATTTTTCAAAGGATAATTTAAATGTATTTAATTTTATTTTATTTTATTTTTAAATTCACTCTCTGATTCGAAGTAAAAATTGTAGTTTATTTCCAAAAGAGCATTATTTTTATTACATTTTTTTAATTAAATCAAATAAAATTAAATTGTCCATTAATAAAAAATAAAAGTCTAATAATTTCTTTTAAAGTCACCGAATTGCCTAATTGCAACAGGTTTACTAATTTTTTTTAAGTAAATTTAAATAATAGCAATAAGTTTACTCATATTTTTATGTAAACTAATTTATTTATAAAGACAACAGCCCTACGCCCCTTTTTATTATTAAATGGCTTTTTTTTTTATTAAAGTCAGCTAATCGCTTTTAAAGCAAGGGATTTAATTCTTTTTTTTAATTAAGTCAACTAACTACTTTAAAAGCAACACGTTTACTCACTTTTATAAAGTAAAGTCAACTAACTACTTTAAAAGCAACACGTTTACTCACTTTTATAAAGTAAAGTCAACTAATCGCTTTAAAAACAACAGATTTACTCACTTTTATAAAGTAAAGTCGACTAATCGCTTAAAAAGCAACACGTTTACTCACTTTTATAAAGTAAAGTCAACTAATCGCTTTAAAAACAACAGATTTACTCACTTTTATAAAGTAAAGTCGACTAATCGCTTAAAAAGCAACAGATTTACTCACTTTTATAAAGTAAAGTCAAATAATCGCTTTAAAAGCAACAGATTTACTCACTTTTATAAAGTAAAGTCAACTAATTGCTTTAAAAACAACAGATTTACTCACTTTTATAAAGTAAAGTCGACTAATCGCTTTAAAAGCAACAGATTTACTCACTTTTATAAAGTAAAGTCGATTAATCGCTTAAAAAGCAACAGATTTACTCACTTTTATAAAGTAAAGTCAACTAATCGCTTTAAAAGCAACAGATTTACTCACTTTTATAAAGTAAAGTCAACTAATCGCTTTAAAAGCAACAGATTTACTCACTTTTATAAAGTAAAGTCGACTAATCGCTTAAAAAGCAACAGATTTACTCACTTTTATAAAGTAAAGTCGACTAATCGCTTAAAAAGCAACAGATTTACTCACTCTTATAAAGTAAAGTCGACTAATCGCTTAAAAAGCAACAGATTTACTCACTTTTATAAAGTAAAGTCGACTAATCGCTTTAAAAACAACAGATTTACTCACTTTTATAAAGTAAAGTCAACTAATCGCTTAAAAAGCAACAGATTTACTCACTTTTATAAAGTAAAGTCGAATAATCGCTTTAAAAGCAACAGATTTACTCACTTTTATAAAGTAAAGTGAACTAATCGCTTTAAAAACAACAGATTTACTCACTTTTATAAAGTAAAGTCAACTAATCGCTTTAAAAGCAACAGATTTACTCACTTTTATAAAGTAATGTCAACTAATCGCTTTAAAAGCAACAGATTTACTCACTTTTATAAAGTAAAGTCAACTAATCGCTTTTAAAGCAACAGATTTACTCACTTTTATAAAGTAAAGTCAACTAATCGCTTTAAAGCAACAGATTTACTCACTTTTATAAAGTAAAGTCAACTAATCGCTTTAAAAGCAATAGATTTACTCACTTTTATAAAGTAAAGTCAACTAATCGCTTTAAAAACAACAGATTTACTCACTTTTATAAAGTAAAGTCGACTAATCGCTTTAAAAGCAACAGATTTACTCACTTTTATAAAGTAAAGTCAACTAATCGCTTTAAAAACAACAGATTTACTCACTTTTATAAAGTAAAGTCGACTAATCTCTTTAAAAGCAACAGATTCACTTACTTTTATAAAGTAAAGTCAACTAATCGCTTTAAAAACAACAGATTTAC